TCAAACAAGTCATTTACGATAAAAAAAACTCAACAAAATGGGGATAGAAGAAATTACCTCAACACAATAAAGCCCATATATGACAAACCCACTGCCAACATCATACTCAATGGGGAAAAACTGAACGCCATCCCTCTGAGAACAGGAACAAGACAAGGATACCCTCTCTCGCCACTCTTATTCAACATAGTACTGGAGTTTTTGGCCAGAGCAATTAGGCAAGAGATAGAAAGAAAAGGAATCCAAAGTGGCACTGAAGAAGAGAAACTCTCACTGTTTGCAGATGACATGATATTATATACAGAAAACTCTAAAGAAGTCATCGAAAAACTTTCAGAGATAATTAACAACTACAGTAAAGTTGCAGGGTACAAAGTCAACTTACAAAAAGTCAGTGGCATTTCTATACTCTAATAACAAACTTACAGAAAGAGAACTCAGGAATACAATTCCATTTACAAGTGCAACAGAAAGAATAAATATCTAGGAATAAATTTAACCAAAGAGGTGAAGGACTTACACAATGAAAACTATAAGACATTACTGAAAGAAATCGATGATGACATAAACAGCTGGAAAGAGACTCCATGCACATGGACTGGAAGAATAAACATAGTTAAAATGTCCATACTACCCAAAGCAATCTACAGATTCAATGCAATCCCAATCAGAATCTCACTAACATTCTTCATGGAAACAGAACAAAGAAACCCAAAATTCATATGGGGCAACCGAAGACCCTGAATTACTAAAGCAATACTGAGAAAAAAGAACAAAGCTGGAGGCATCACAATCCCTGACTTCGAAATGTACTACAAAGCCACAGTAATCAAAACAGCACGGTACTGGCAAAAACAGACACACAGATCAGTGGAACAGAACTGAAAGCCCAGAAATAAAACTGCACATCTATGGACAGATAATCTTTGACGAAGGTGCCAAGAACATACAATGGAGAAAAGATAGTCTCTTCAATAAACGGTGTTGGGAAATCTGGACAACCACTTGCAAAAGAATGAAAGTAGACCATTATCTCACGCCATACACAAAAATAAACTCAAAATGCATCAAAGACCTGAAGATAAGTCCTGAAACCATAAAACTCCTGGAAGATAATATAGGTAGTACACTCTTTGACATGGAACTTAAAAGGATCTTTTCGAATACCGTGTCTTCTCAGACAAGGGAAACAAAAGAAAAAACAAACAAGTGGGACTTCATCAGACTAAAGAGCTTCTGCAAGGCAAAAGAAACTAGGATCAAAACAAAAAGACAACACACCAACTGGGAGAAAATATATGCAAATCATATATCCAATAAGGGGTTAATGATATATGGGGAACTCACACAACTGAAAAACAAAAATACAAACAGCCTGATCAAAAAATGGGCAAAGGATATGAACAGACCTTTTTCCAAAGAAGATATACAGATGGCCAATAAACACATGAAAAAATGTTCAACATCACTAATCATCAGGGAAATGCAAATCAAAACTACACCAAGATACCACCCTATACCTGTTAAAATGGCTATAATCACTAAAACTAAAAATAACAAATGTTGGAGAGGGTGTGGAGAGAAGGGAGCCCTCATACACTGCTGGTGGGAATGCACACTGGCGCAGCCACTATAGAAAACCTTATGGAGATTCCTCAAAAAACTAAAAATAGAACTACCATATGACCCAGCCATCCCACTACTGGGTATATATCCAAACAACTTGAAATCAACAATCCAAAGTAACATATGCACCCATATGTTCATCGCAGCACTATTCACAATAGCCAAGACCTGGAAGCAACCCAAGTGTCCACTGACCGAGGACTGGATAAAGAAGATGTGGAATATATATACAATGGAATACTAATCAACCATTAAAAAAAGACAAAATCATCCCATTTGCAACAACATGGATGGACCTGGAGGGTATTATGTTAAGCGAAATAAGCCAGACTGAGAAAGTTACAAACACGAGATGATTTCCCTTATATGTGAAATATAAACAAACACATGGACAAAAGAAAACATTTCAGTGGTTACCAGGGGAAGGGGGATGGGCAGAGTGGTTGAAGGGGAGCACTTATGTGGTGACAGGTAAGAAATAACGTACAACTGAAATTTCACAATGATGTAAAACTATTATGAACTCACACAAAAATATATATATACAAAAAAGAGAAAGATCTTAAATCAATAATCTAAGTTTCTATCTTAAGAAACTAAAAAAAGGAAGAGGAAACTAAATCCAAAGCAAGCAAAAGAGGGAAATAATAAAGATGAGACAGAAAATAAATAAAAGAGAGACTAGAAAAACAAGAGAGAGAATCAACAAAACCCAAAAACAGTTGTCTGTTTTTTCTTTAGACCAACAACATTGATAAATCTTTAGCTAAAATGAGGGGGGAAAAAAGGGGTCTGAGTATTCAAATTACTAAAAGCAGGAATAAAAGCAGAAACATTACTACTTTTTATAGAAATAAAAATTATTAAGTGAATACTATGAATGATCGTATGTCAACAAATTAGATTAACTCACATGACACCAATTTCCAGCAAGACAAAAACCACCAAAATTGACACGAGCAGAAAGAGAAAATCTGAATAGCCCTATAACAAGTAGAGATTGAACTAGTAATCACAAAACTTTCCCAAAAGAAAAGCTGTGCCCAGATAACTTCACTAGTGAATTCTACCAACCCCATAATGAAAAATGAACACCAATTCTTCATAAACTCTTCCAAACAATAGAAGAGGGAATACTTCCTGACTCACTGTATAAGACCAGTATTACTCTGATATCAAAACCAAAGACATTACAAGAAATCTACAGACCAATATTCCTTACGCATATAAATGCAGAAATCTCCAACAGAAATACTAGCAGACCAAATGCAGCAACAAATAAGATTATACGGCACGATCAAGTGGGATTTATCCTAGGAATGTTAGTTGGTTCAACATACAAAAATCAATCAACATAATAAAGCATATTAACAGAAAAGGAGACAAAAATACCTGATCATCTCAATAAACACAGAAAAGGCATTTGGCAAAATTCAAAACCCTTTTGTGGTAAAAACACTCAACAAAGCAGGAATAGAAGGGAATTTCTTCAACCTGATGAAAGGAATCTAATACAATCCACAGCTAACATTAGACTTAATGGTGAAAGACAAGATAGGGCAATTAGGTCCCTCCTTGCCCAAAATAAAGAAGGGAATCCATATTGGAAAAGAAGAAGTAAAACTATGTCTACTTGCAAATGCTATCTTGCATACAGAAAATCCTAAGGAACACACACGCAAATTACCAAAATGAATAAATGAGTTCAGGAAAGTTGCAAGGTATAAGATCACTACACAAAATTAACTTGAATTTCCATATAATTAGCAAAGAACAATCCAAAAATGAAATCAAGAAAACAATTCCATTTATAATAGCATCAAGAAGAATAAAAATACTTAGGAATAAACCTAAGAATAGAAGAAGAAATTGAAAACTATAGAACATTTCTGAACGAAATTATAGAAAACCTAATAAATGGAAAGAGACCTCATGTTCATGGCTTGGTAGGACTTAACACTGCTAACATGGCAATACTCTCCAAATTGATCTACAGAAAAAACAGTGTCTATCAAAATCCCAGCCAGTTATTTTTGCAGAAATTGGATAAGCTGATCCTAAAATTGATAGGAAAATGCAAGGGATTCAGAAACGTCAAAACTATCTCGAGAAAGAACAAAACCCAAGCACTCACACTTTCCGATTTCAATACTACAAAGCCACAGTAGTCAAGGCAGTGAGGTATTGGCATAAGCATAAACATACAGATCAATGGAACAGCACTGGGAGCCCAGAAATAAACACTCACTTTTATGGTGAATTGATTTTCAACAAGGATGCCAAGACAATATAATGGGGAAGAGTCATCTTTTTAATAAGTGGTAGTGGGGCAACTGGATATCCACATACAAAGGTATGAAGCTGGACTCCTACACCTTAGCACAACCAAAACGCAACTCAAAATGGATCACAGACCTAAATGTAATAAGAGCTATAACCTCTTTGACCTTGGATTAGGCAACGTTCTCTTAGTATGAAACCAAAAGCTCAAGCAACAAAAGAAAAAAAATCATCCAACATAGAAATCAAGAACTGATAACTCTAACCTCAAAATAGGTGCTACAGAACAACTGAGGCACGTGTCATTTGCTTGCTTCTGTTATATGAAGGGAAAAATATCAGCATGATATATAAAGTATCTTTTAAGAAATATATAATTATAAATCTTAAACACTTCATATGTTTATATCATAAACAAGGACATATTACTGTCCAGATGATTTTCTGAATATTAAATTAAAATGTACTATATCTGCTTTCCATCTCAAAACACTGCGTGAGCTAACACAAGGCAAGTACTGATTCCCTATTTACAAATGTTAACAATGGGGCTCAGAGGAAAATGACTGAGTTACTGCAGTGCCACAACCTGCACTGGTCAACATGGTAAGGACAGAGAGAGACTCAGGATACCAGGTTCTGATGTTCACTGTATTTTTTTATACAATTGATATACATATCTATTTTACATTTCAGTGACAGTGATGTAAAATTTAAAATATTAATTAAAAATGGATAATCTTGTATTGAGCATACACTTTAAGACCATTTTTTTCTTCCTGAAGTTTAAAACATAAATGAAATTTTTAGTTTCTTAATATATTTACAATTATTTCAGGCTAGACTGGTATTCACTGCTAGCCTCTTGGCTTCACAAAGGTCAAGATGAGAGAGCAGGGCTGAGAAGAGACTGTCTTTACTGCAATTCCCAGGGCAATGGTTTATTTGGCTCTGTCCAATAGAACTATATCCCATGATGGAAACACTCTACATCTGTGCTATCCAATGCAGTAGCCACTAGCCCCACGTGACTACTGAGCATTTGAAATGTGGTTAGTGTGACTAAATGAATTTTCAGTTTTACTTCAACTCACCCTTTCTATAGCTTCTTTTTCCTGAGGCGTTACTTGAATGTAGTTCATATGACCACTTCCAGCTTCTGCAATTCCTCCACTGCCCCCTCCACCCCCTCCTCCTTGACCACCAGCTTCTTGAACCGGTTCATTTAACATCTGTATAAAATGCTCCTGGTGTTGGCTAATTTGCTGTGGTGATGTGAAAGACAGAGAAAAAGATACGTTGATATAAAGTTAGCTTCAGAAAATAAGAATTCTAAATAAAAATAGAGAAAAACCTGTAACTTTGCAACTGCAATATGTTAGAATGATTCTGGATTACACAGTCTTCAGCAGAATGTGATTCCTTATAAATTATGAAAGAAACTTCAGTACCTTTGAGCAAGGTGAACAGTGGAGAATTAAGAGAATTCAAATTCTCTTTCATAATCGTTTCCCTCTCAAAAAATCAATGTTAAAAAACTACTTGGACATTTTAAGAAGAAGCAGAACCTTTATACATATATGGGTTTATATCTATATATAAAATTATCTTCCACACTAGTAGGCACTACAGTGCTGGACAAAACTCAAATTATTTCATGACCTGACCAGTACTAAGCCCATGGGTATGTTGTCTAAGAGGCAGTGCTACATTAGTAATAAGGTGGGAAAAAAGACTTAAAAAGTTAAACAGTTCCTGTGCTAAAGAATCTCTCAGATTCTTTAATAAAGTGTTTCCCAAGCTTATTATTTGACCAACTTAGCCCAACCTCCACACACAACTCTTTTTCAGTACATCTATCTAAAGCATATTCTGCTGAATATAGCTTAGAAGAAAAGCTTATAGAGTTGCTGGAGTGGAAGGAGGTGCTCACAGACTTTTTCAAAATGTGACACACTCTAAACCCACTTTTGAAATTAACACTGATGCAAGAGTCACCTGAAGTAACTGAGGATTTTCCCGACCTATCTGTTGTAGCAATGCTGGAAGCAGGGAAGGATTCTGTTGAATAATTTGTCTCATCTGTTGAAATTGAGGCTGATTCCGTAAAAATTCAAGGGGATGTCCTAAAACACACATAAACATTTTTAAATAAAAGTTGCAATTAAATTTACAAACAGCTGGTTCAATCATAATTTAGATAGCAAACAGTGGCAAGTAAAACATATGATTTGAGTTCTTAGATGTATACAAAATGAAGTAAATAGTGACAAAACCTTCAAACTGCACCAACTTGCAAGTCTGATACTGCAGAAATTATTCCTAGTAGCAAAGGTAGAGAGTGCAGAAGACTAAAGGAATGTTTTCCTACAATTTCCCTGGGTACTCAGTATTATCAAATACTAAGAACTTGTGTTCTGCATGTACTCCATCAAAATAAAAGCTTCTAAAAAAGTTGCTCCTGTTGCTCAAGTTTCTGAGAAAAATACATATAAGGACTAACAAAAACAAGAAAACTCACTTACTTTATAATACAAACAAAAACCCCAAAGAAAATCCGACCTTAAATTCCTAGGAAATTCTAAACTAAATAAGTGAAAGATACTTAATACTTAAAAGAGTTCACGCTTGTAGATCAGAAGGAGTTTTATTAGCACAACCTGAATTACAAGCAGAAACAAGACTTTTGTTTATCATTAAATTTCAAAAATTTGTAATCTATAAGCTTGAGATAAATAAGCTGCAAGATAACACAGTGCTAATACTCTCACAACTGTTTAGTCCGTGATATCTTACAATAATAAATATTAATAATACCAAATAAGGTATGAGATATAGAATTTGGGTCTTTTTAGGGTGGTGGTACTTGTCCGGTTATGCTACTGAAAATCAGAAATTGCATACAAAAGAATTCTTTTTGAGGTTACGAATGAATAATGAGAATTTTTTACATGTATGTTGTCATTTCCTAAATTTTAAGAAAATCATTCAAATTAAAATGACCACATAACACGGGTATTTATCCTTCTTTGTATAACATCAGTTTTACAGATGAAGAAATTTTACCTAGTATGTTGCTGAATGGCACGGCACCCTAAATCTTAACTAAAGCTGGGGCCTCCTCTTTCCATTCCCATGCTGAATCTCAAGAAATGAAAAGCCTGTCCTGGGAGACTGTACACAAAGTGCTTATGGATTTTTGTTAACCAGAGCTGGCTTCCAGAATTAGAGCTAGGAAATGTATCAAACAATGGCCTCTTCAAAATTAGCAGTTTGAAGTACTCTATCAATATAGAGAAGAACGAAGGAGAACACTAAGTAATTCCTGGATCTACCACGGGGTCGAGTTTTTGCTCCCTAGTCAAACCTTAGGCAATGGAAGTGTGGGCACTGGCTGGTAAAGAGACTTAAATTCAAACTTGGATGTCACCTCTAGATACAAGATTTTAAAACTCCCAGGGTTTTATTTCCTTGGTTGCATAACCACTAAGATCCTACAGGCTTTGAAATTATACATACTTTATGACATTTACAGAAAGTGAAAGAGACAAGGTGGGCTAACCATCCTGAACTACTTCAGAATGTAACACTAAATGCAAACCGGGAAGCATCTCTTCCTTAGAATAAGCTAAAGAGAATATGCCCTTGGCCAAAACTGCAGCAATGATGTTTAATACAAGCAAGGGTAGCATTTATATCCAATTGGCAGAATTTCTTTTGGGCCCTTCTCTAACATTAATGAACAGAGAACTTGTTTTAAGAGTTATCCAAATGCTATGGGAATAAACTTCATTTCAAAAGCATTTCAGATTAAATTATTTTACAATAAAAGTTCAAGGCCTCTTCTTCCCCAGCCAAAAGATTCCACTTTACCTCCAGAACTTGTTGTTGTAGTCGTCGCTGTCGTGGTTGCTGCAGCTGCAGCCACTGAAGACTGAGGAGCCCCAGTACTAGCTGCTGGAGGGGGGTCAACCACAGCCTGACTCTCTCTATCTCCAGGGATTCCCTATAACACAATTTCCACGCTTTAAAACATCCCGTCATTCAAAATTAGTTAAACATTATACAGAGTAAAAGATGTATTCATCTACTTCATATCCTTGTCTAATTTCCAAAGGCATCAAACAGATGTCTCCTTCAATTAAAAGTAAAGGATCAAGACTTATCTGAAAGCTGTATGTATCCAAATTAGATGAGAAATGGCCTGAGTGTGGTGTAGAAGAACACAGATTACTGTAAGGCAGCACTTCCCAACAGAACTTCCCACGATGATGCAAATGTTCTAGATTTGCGCTGTCCAATAAACGACCCATTAGCCACAGACAGCTACTGAGAACTTGAAACGTGGCTAATGTTGCTAAGAAACTAAAATTTTAATTTACTTTTACTTTTAACTTTAAATAGCTAGAGCAGGTGAAGACAGTGGCCAAGCAAGGAGAACCTCCTCTGCTGATCCATGGTCCTGAGAAAGCGTCATTCAGAAAGTATCACATACAAAAAGTTAAAATTCATTATTCAAAATCTACTAAATAGGCATAAAAGAACTTTCAATAATTAAATATATTTAGGTGATGCTTTTTCTAAGTTTGTAGTATTTTATCTTCTGAAGTTACTGTAACTTAGAACTGCACTAAGACTTTTTTAACACCTTGTTTTGATGCAAATGATTTACAAGACTTCTAATATACAACTTATTAAAAAAAGTCTCTACGAAATTCTCATAGATTTGGAAGGAGGAGAATCAAGAAGGAAATATTACATTTGAATAAGAGATGGTATATACCTCCATTTCCCAATAAATCAGAAGCCAAAATCATAAACATATGAAAAATGAAGTGTAAGGAATAGTAGGGTAGTGGTTGCCTGCATTAAAGGTCACTCCACGAACTGGAAACCAATATTTTTGAGAGTCCACCAACTCAAACCCTTAGATGAGGCACTGTTAAATGCTCACAAATTATATACAGATTGAGGGTCCAAAGCCTCCAGCAAATTCTCAAACGGGTTAAACTAAAAAGTTCATCATCAATGATGCTACAGATCTACCTCAAATTCTCACACACGGTATTCAGCTTTTCATTAGATCAGTGTTTCTCCTTTCCATCCATTCACCCTCACTTATACAGAACTAGTAAGAGTTAAAGGTAGCCCTTTTCAGTCTATGAAACAAACCAGTAAATATATCAAAACACTTTAAACTGTTTCGTGAACTTCTCTCATCCATTCAATTACATTTGATGCTAAATAGCAGTGGCAACTTTGAAAATAGTGATTCATTTTTATATATCTCAAAATTTCAAATCTATTAGATCAGAATAGCTGATACTATTAAACTTATGCAGAATTACAGAGCAGGTATAAATTAAAGCCATTCTATAAGAGAAAAGGCAATACTTTTATATAATATGGGTTTTTTGTGGGGGTGGGGGGAGGTGAAAGGATAACCACAAATAGATGCATGACAGTTATCAATCCAATGATTCCTCAATTCCAAACAAAGTGATAAATAAACAAACTGCCAGCATTTAAAGACTTTTCTCAAGAGGGCGATGGAAAAGAGAATTCACAAGATAAAATGATATGCTAAGAAAAGATTTTGTGAATCTCACATGCAAATGACTAGGCAAACAACCGGTGAAAGCAGAGCAGTTATTCACTCTGAACTGTGACTCTCGAAAGTACTATGAGAAAAGGAGTTTCTAACAGATGCACAAGCTGGAGACAAGGGAATGGATTAAACTGTGGACTATATTCCCCAGAGATAGGATCGTGGATTCCTAAGATGATATTTAGGTAATTCAGACTTTGATAATACCCCAAAACACCTAAGACAATTATAGAATAAAATGTTAAGATGAAAAAAAAGTTAATCCAATATTACTCCGAAATTCTAGGCTATTACTTTAACCCGTGCCACATTTGTAAAATGAACAGACATTCACTGTCATAAAATATCAAGGGTTTCAGTCCATGCCCACAACATCCTATTTCTCAAAAACCTTTATGCTAGTAACAAAATGGTAACTTATCCAAAATTCCCTCGACTGCTAATGACTATAAACAAGCTAACAATTTAAATGCCAAGGGAACCAGGCAAGTCACAACACACATTAAATCAAATGTATGATGCCATGTCAGGTAACAGAAGAGGGATGGGAACATAGTAAATTAAAGAGTCTATGATCTAAACTTTTCCTAAACCCTTGCAAAAATCTGATATTAATGTTGTCCAGATAAACCACATATCGGAATTTTTAAATGAAATCTCTCAATTTTTAAAAGTTGGCAGCTAATTATAAAAAAAGTTACACAGTACAAGGCAAATAAAATTTCGCTTGGGCTTCCAACTTCAAACTTTTGCTTATGGTGACGGTCAAAAAACCTAGTAAAACACTGGACTAGATTAGATTAAAAATCTGCCGCCCCAACACACAGCTGTCATACTTTTAAGATGACATAACTGGGATACAAGCACCACAAGTGGGTAGCCAATTTTATAACTCGTTTAGTCATGCTGTTTTCTAACTAAAAATCACGTACCAAAATCTTTTAGAAGAGGTTGCTCTGAATCTACACAAAATGTTAACACACTAAGAAATATAAAAGCATTATGTAGAGTATCTGGCATGTTATTTTCCAATGAATTGTTACTATTTCTTTAAAAATCTTTGTTCCCTTGAGATTTTGGTCTTAAACAACCAGAATGAAGAAAGTAAAATACGCTTCTCACCATTAAAAGATACTCCACTGCTCTGTCAGGGTTGTTGAAACTGGCTCTCAGGGCCGCAATTACTTGCTCTCGTTCATAGCCCATTGACATGATTTCTGTTACCATATTCTCATAGGACTGACCTGTCACTAAAAAAAGGCATATGGGGGCAGAAGGAGAGGGAAGAAAGGAAACATTTAATAAATAAACATTCTCCATACATTTCTTGAGTATATATATATGTATACGATGTTTCAGCCATGATAGTGTTAAGAATAAAAAGATAAATAACAGTATAAACTACAGTATATATGTAGTAGGTAGAATAATGCCCTCCCCCAAGCCCTGGATCCTATAAATATGTTAGGTTACATGGCAAAAGGGAGTTAGGTTGCTAATCAGCTCACTTTAAGACAGGGAAATTATCCTGAATTATCTAGGTGGGCCCAATCTAACTACAACGGTCCTTAAAAGTAGGAGGGAAACAGATGAGAGGGTCAGAGAAACAGATGTAAGGAAGAGAAGACAAAAGCAGAGTCAGATTCCATGCTGCTGCCTTTGATGATGGAGGAAGGGGCTCTGAGCCAAGCAATGTGGGCAGCCTCCAGAAGCTGGAAAGGACAAGGAAACAAATTCTCCCCTAGAGCCTAGAGAAAGGAATGCAGCCCTGATTTTAGCCCAGTCATTTAGTCCCTTGATTTTAGTTCAGCGAGCCCCATGTTGGACTTCTAACCTACGGTACTTTAAATAACAAATCTGTATTGTTTTACACCGCTAAGTTTGTGGTAATTTATTACAGTGGCAACAGAAAACTACTAGAGTATGTTTAATAAGTCTAATAGGAAAATCAGGTACAAATGTAGCACAAATATAGGAGAGAATCAGCAAGTCAGGGAAGACAACCTGGAAGAAGAGACAGATGAACTGATTTTTAAAAACAAGTAGAAGGGACATTTCAAGCAATCAACTCTGCTATAACAAGTTCAGTTTTCCTTTGACACCTTTTATTATCAAAATAGTGGAAGAGAGGAGGTTAGAAGCTAGAAAGTTAGAATTTCCCATACTATACAAAGAAAAACTTCCCATACTATACAAATGCCCCAAGCACTACTATTCCAGTAAGTTATTTCCCACAGGCTCTCTCCGACTCTCTCAGCTGAAAACCTAACTCGTTCTTCATGAAAATGTCAGACAAGAAACACACTGACTGAAAGAAAGCCAAACTCTCTCCCACTACACTTACCTCACTTAACCTATTTTTTCTTTCATCTGTGTTCTGGGTACTACTCCCTTTCTTGTCTCCCCAAAGAACTGGACTCTTTGGTGATCCTTTCTGATGTCCGTCTCCCACCGTTCCAACATCTCCACTTAAATTATCCTGATCACCAGTTAACTATGTCCTGGCATGTCATCCTAAAAACAAAAACATGCCTCCCTTGACTGCATCCGAATTCCTCTTTCAGGAACTGGTCCCTCTGCTCTCTTCCCTGCGCAGCCACATATATCTGCACATGCAATGTCCACTTCCTCGCATTTCACTGACTCTTCAACCAGTATCATTATGTGACTTTGCATCTCTAAAGATTTTCCCCTCAAATGTGTCCCACCATTATCTGCCTTCTCCATTTCAAAAAACAGCACCTCTATCCATCCAAGTGCTTGAATCAGAAACCTCGGTGGTTTCAATTCCCTTTCTTCTCCTTCCACATCTAGTCTACAACTTATCTGGTAGATCCTTCTCTAACTTATAACCCAGACCTATCTTCTTCCCTCTTTGTCCTCTGCCTTCACTCAAGACCAGTCCACAACGACCTCTGGTCTGGATCACACCCTGCTTCCTCTCCTGCCCCCAAGCCCACAACCCATTCTGCAGACAGTTGCAAAAGCTTTTAAAAAAGAAAACCTCATCTCATTTCAGGCTCCCAACCCTCCACAATCCTCTACACACCACACCAATCTTCTCCAGTTTACTTCACAAGCCGTACCTTCTCTGCCCCAGAACCTTAGACCCCAGGCGTCTTGGATGGCCAGTTTGTTTACAGGCTCCAGTTCTCAATTTAATCATTACAGTCTTAGAGGTATTGCCTAACTATCCTAAATATAAGTAGCCTTCTTTTTTTCTCTATGGAAGCCATTAGTTTTCTTAATATGATTTGCAATCTATTTTGTTACATTCTTTTTTTCTTTCCCCTACTTGAATGCAAAGTTCAACTGTGCAAAGAGACATATCATTTTGCATCACTATTTCTCTGACCCATAGGTGACAATATCAGTTGAATGACTTTTTTTCTGTGGAATTGTCAATAAAGGTATTTAATAGCTATGAAAGTATATCTTAAAAAAACTAATTATCACTAAGCAAATTTGGCATTTAATATCTTGTTTAGAGTAATGATGTTTCCTTACTTGTTAATATAATTTTATTTTCTTAATTACCAACTGACAGAATTCTAGCATAAAGTCATTCAAGTGGCAATACACTTTCAGTAATCTAGCTACCAGATACAGAAATTAGCATCAATGTAAACAAAATTAAGAGCTGTGGAGTATCAGATCACACTATTTTAATGTAGTGTTTCTCATTTAATTCTCACAACAATTCTATGAAAAAGGTTAATATTCCTCTCCCTTTAAGATTAGGCTGAGGCTTAGAGAGATTAATAATTTGATCGTGGTATCAATGTCTGGTAAGTCCTGGAGCAGAGACACAAACGCAGGCTGTCAGAGTGCAGAGCACCACACCTAATCATTAGGCTATCTCTCCTAAAATCACACTTCCTAATTAATCAAGTTATAAAAACTCAAAAAGAAATGCCTATAAGTAGTTTGATACTTTTCAGAGCTTAAAAGTACAAGGGCAAATGACTTGTAGGAAAACTAGAGACAATGGATAACATGAGACAGAGTTAATGAGGCTAAAAAAGTAGTGATGAGAAACCTTCTATCTTTAAGAGTGAGTTCGGACCTATCTTCTAGGCCACGAGGAGCTATGAAAGGAACTAACAATGACCTCATCAGATGTGCCTTTTAGAAAGCCCACTATGGCAGGAATAGACCAGTTAGAAGAGAATAATGCAAGAGTATCAGTGGCGTAAGCACATAAACTAAGGCAATTGACTGGCAGTGGAAACAAATATTCTAGAGACTTCAGGAAGGAGGATCAACAGGACTCCTGGGCTCACGGGGCCAGGGGAGGCAGCGGGTCAAGGATGAAGACAGCAAGGTTTCGGTAGAAGGTGGATGATGATGCAAACAAGGAAAGGAACAAAGGAGAAGTATCAGATGGGGGAAGAAAAGATGAATCAATCTGGAACCTAAGGAGTTTGTGGAGGTGGTAGATTTTCTGATTAGCAGTTTAAAGATGTTATAGTTTGGGGGAGCTCTTATAGTAGATGGGTGGTATCTGCCATTCCTATAATTTGAACTTTGAACTATGGCCTAGAGCAGAACCATAGAAAACTCATATATTTAAGGGCAAGGTAAAATAGAAAGAATTAACAAGAAAGCCTAAGAAGGAAAAGTCAGAGGTACAGATCAAGAAATGAGTAGTGTCAGAGTCCCCAAAAAGGAAAGTTTAAAGAAGCAAGGTATCAACACAAAGACTGGGTAAATGAAAGAGTAAAGGGATCCCGAGACCATCAAGTTGACAATGGCTGTTGTAGGAGACATAAGATGTAAAGGTAAGCTATCAGTATCAGAGGCTTTGGCGTAGCTGTAGCAGCAGCAGCTAGAGCTGTGGTCTCCTGGACCCCTGCTCGGTAGCATCAATGCAGTCCAACTGAATGAAACAGCAGTGGCAAGGGCCAGAGCCTTCAGCAGCACCAGGGGCAAGTGTCAGCTGGCTCCAGCTCTGACACTACAGAGCATTTTACCCATCTCTTTGTAATCTCCGTGAGCCCTTCCAGTATCTTTGTAACAATTTCCTAAGATTAAGCCATCCCATGTTCGAAACAGATTTCTGTTTTTCTGACTGGACACTAACTTATATTCATTTGGTAGCAGAGTAGTCCCAGAAAACAGTCCCTCAAATATGTGAACGTGGGTCTGGTACATCCAGGTGAACTTAGGTTGATTATTTAAACTGTTTTGCCCCTACATGCTATGGGTAACCAGTATGCCCTTTCCCACAGCAGTGAGGGCATCATGGAATTGAAGTCCAATTAGGACAGAGGGCCTACTCCAGATCTTAATGAGGTGCTACCACTGCTGCAGCAGCTAAGCAGGAATCCAGAAGCCCACAGTCCACTGAAGCTGCTGTGCCCAGCTGTCTGTCTACCTCCCATTTCCAGTAACATAGAAGAGTACCAAAGGGCAGGAATGGGGGTGCCAGCCCACGGACTTGTTAATTAGCAGGCACAGCAGGAACCATACCAGAGGTGTTACAATGGGAAAATGGGGAAAGAAACAAATGATTTTGACAGATTAGGTACGAAGGGGAGATGGAAAGACATTATTCAAGAGGCAAAAGTGAAAGGTGGGATAAAAAGGCATTTTCACTGCAAGTACTATAGAAGCGACAAGATGTAGATAGGAACCTATAGGGCTACAAGCTGGAATAAAAGGCTAGAGGTGAATAAAGAGCAAGTGTGAGACAGATTTAGTAACATTTTATACTCATTTTGAAGACACTTTGTAATAAACCTGTACACAGATCAAACTTTGTTAAGATCTCATTTAAAATTCACATTTGGAAAATGGACAATTATTTGCTTTAAGGAAAGGAGTATGCTTAACTTTAACAGTACAATTTAAAGGAGTCAATATATAAACAATAATTTACAAAGTCTTTAGCAACATTATTTATTTTTTTTTAAAAGATTTGCACCTAGGCTAACAACTGTTGCCAATCTTCTTTATTTTTTTTTAAGGATTAGCACCTGGGCTAACAACTGTTGACAATCTTTTTTTTTTCTTTTTCCTGCTTTATCTCCCCAAACCCCCCCCCGTACACAGTTGTATATCTTAGTTGCAGGTCCTTCCAGTTGCGGGATGTGGGACACCACCTCAACGTGGCCTGACGAGTGGTGCCATGTCCGTGCCCAGGATCCGAACCCTGGGCCGCCGCAGCGGAGCATGCGAACTTAACCACTCGGCCACGGAGCCGGCCCTTTAGCAACATCATTAACTGAATAATCACCTAAATCATTCAGTACCTTGATTATTAGCTACCATGAAAATGAACAGATTTTCATGATCTAGAAAAACAAAACTTAAACCTCTTCCCTCTCTCTTCTAAGGTTATTTACAACTTACATACTTACCAAGCGCACTTGTTGCATCTTCAAAAAGGTTTGACCGAGAAGAATCTCCTGAGGTACTGTAAAAGGTTTTTAGAAAATCATATATCAGAAAAGTACGTAAAATTCACATTAAAGTTTAGTAACTGCCTAATTTACAAAGAGTCTTTGATTTTAATTAAATGCAGAAGTTTAGCTACAGCATTTCAACATTCTTCTAGATTAAACCCTCAAAGCTTTATCCGTAATAGGTATGGTTTGGGAAGAAATTTCAATCTTAACACTCATTCTATTCTGAAAATCCATCATTTTAAATGTCCAAGGACACAAAATAACATCCTTACAGATAGCTTACTACTTAAGGAATACAAAAAGGACAATGCACAACTATTTCCCTGAAAGAGTTTACATGAGAAGTTAAATAATCTATAAGTGAAGTCACAGTAGAAGAAACAGCAAAAGCAGTCCACGATAAATGGCACATGTAGAAACCACACGAGGCTGGAAAGGCCCAGGAAGTCTTTACAAAGCGGAATTTCAGTTAGGTCTTATACTTCAGTTTTGAACACAGAAACTGAAAGAAGGTGGAATTCAAGTCAAGGAACATAGCGTAAGCAAAATATGCAGAGATGGGATAAACCCAAGTTGTAACCAAAGTAAACCAGTTAAAAAGACTAAGTTTCTGTTGGGGAACTGTAGAAAAGTAAGTATGGAAAACAAAGTAGACAAAAACAAGATTATGAAAGATCATAAAGAGTAGACTAAAGGAAAATAAAACGAAGTTTACAAAAGTGGTAAAGGTAAGAGTTAGAAGTTTAGATTAACACACACACAACACAACACACTTATACTTCTGTCCCAATTTTAAAAACAAAACACAGTAGACTTTAGTTCTGAGAAAACCCTGCCCAAGACCCCTACCCAGAGACATCACTACCACCAGTTTCTACATAACAACTTGTGTCTTGCTTTAGTGTATTTTATTTAACAATTATTCCATGTCAGCGCAGCCACAACCACCTCAATTTTTTCCCAAAGACTCACAGTATTCCATTTAATTCACCAAATCAAGCTCTTATTAAGGAATTTTCAGTTTGGTTTCTAACCTTAAAATTCTTCCTGTAGTCAAATTTATCAATTGTTCTTTTTATGACATTTTTGGTTAAGATTATCTTTATTTTCCCACATTCTCCTCTGGTTTATGGTTTCACTTTTACATTAAATCTTTATCCATCTACAATTTATTTTTACGAGTGGAGGTATGTGATCTATCTTTTTTCCCTCCAGATGGACAGGCATTTATCCCAGTAGCATTTTTCTCACAGTGGTCTGAAATTACATCTTTATCTTATATTAAGTCCCTGTAGGCATTTTGGTCTGTTTCTAGACTACTATTTCACTGAGCAGTCTCTCTAGGAAGAGCTATAGTAAATTGTTGTAATCATTACCATGTATAATATATTTTGCTATATGGTAGGACTAGTCCCCTTCATTACTGTTCTTTTACAGAACAATTTGTGCTATTTTTGCACAGTTTTAAAATTTCTTTCTAAACATTACAGATAAGACTGCGGTATTGTTTAACCACAGTTCTTCATTCTTGATTCTGCCTCACCACTTCTCCCCTCCCCATCTGCAGAGGAAGCCACTTATCAGTTAGTGTGTTGTCCCTTCGCTACTGGTTTTCTATACATTACTATGCATACCCACATAAAATACACCATGTTGTTTGGTGGCTTTTGTTTGGTGTATGGTTATTGCCTATATTGTTTTGCAATTTGCTTTTTCCATTTGATAACAAAGCCTTGAAACCACATTCATTTAATATGCATACAGCTGCATACTTTAGTATTGGTTATCAGGGCTTCTGAAACTTTAGGTTGTCCAAGAATTCACCAGGAGAGCTTGTTAAAATACCAATTTCTGGAATCCACCCCAAATAACTCTGATTTAGAGGTCTAGGGTGGAGCCTAAGAATTCATTTCAAACTAACTTCCAGTGATGCTGATGCTGCCTACTGACTACCATGCACTGAGCAGCAACGTTCTCTAATATGAATAAATCACAGGTCAAGTTATTCCCTCACTAATGGCTATTTAAGTTGGTTCCAATTTGTCCTCAATTACAAACAATACAGTCCTTATGCACAAGTGCAGTTTCTCTAAGGGAGACATCAATAAGTAGAATTTGCATTGTAATAGGTGGTTTTTAAAGAACAAAACCAACCTAAAGAAACAAATCATTAATAAATGAAATATCAGATCAGTGGCAATGGACAGAGTTTCTGCCACCCCTCAAATTCTTACCAGCACATCTCCTGATAATTATCTCACTAAGTTTTGTGCTTTACAGGACACTAAACGTTTTATAGCACAAATGAAAGGACTAAGGTATACTTAAGTAGTTTGTTTTCTGAGCTTCTCACATCCTTCCCTTCCTGTGTTACCCTTCTCTGAGGTATGTAATTTTGAGAAATAAGAGTAAATTGTTGGCATACAAAGCGCAACTAAGTAAGTGACTCTGGTGTCTGCTCTTCTGGATCCCTGACCATCAACTCATTTATGCAACCTCTATAGGTTTGAAAAGGTAATCCTGACTCTTGAGACTAGGTAAATAAGACTGTACCTTAAAATAGAAACAATAAAGAAATTTGAATTGATATTAGCGCATTAAAACGTATTGATCAATTCTGAAATTCTCATACTATGAATTTTTTAAGGAGCTTAAAGCATTTAAGAAAATAGACATACTGTACTTACCCAAGATTTAATTAAGTTTACAATGTTTAAATGCTTTGGGAAACCAATTTGTTAAATTTGTAAGTTCCCCACCATACACAAAATTGACCAAAGCCTTTTGACATAATAACTTAACCTGACTCTGGATTGTCTCCCACTAGGTAAGAGTGTTGAATGCATTTCTAGCTATACATGCGAGAAGGATCAAGTTAGGAAATGGTGCCTCAGAATACCTAAAGTCAAGTGAGGCAGGCAGGCAAAGGGAAAATATTTTATTAACTGAGCCTATGCTCTCTTCTTAGGGAATCAATTCCTTGGAGAGAGGCCCCGAGTGAGCAATGAACCAGGTGACTCAAACCCCTCCACACAGCTGACTGGGTCAGACACAGAAACCGCACTTAAAGGCAGAATACTAAAATGAAGGAACATGACCACATTCTTTCTGACCATTGTTGTATTTATCACAAACATCCTTCCACGTCAGTAAGTGTTTCCAGTAGCTGCATAGGTTTCCACTGTGTCTGGTTCTGAGTCCAAGGACTCTTAACTAATACCACTGGAGTCTTGAGCTGCAACTAAAGTCACAAAATACAAACAGCTCCAGTGCCAGTGAACACTGGACATAATACAACCTGTGCTCTCAGATGAAAGAGTAATTCCCTTGTACTATTTCCAGCCAAGAGAATTGATGCATTTGCTTTGGTTATTTTATTTATCATTGGGGAAAAAATATCTGAAGATCTGCACAGGCAAAAGTTTAAATTTCTACACAAGTTCACAAAAGTATAGACAAAACAGTGCAAAATTGAAACAATTCACGTGGTAGTAGGTGACATATCCATAATAGCTGATAGTTACTCTGCACTAATTGTGTGCCATGTGCTATTCCACATCTATTACACTCATTATTTCATTTAACCCTTATAACAACTCTATCAGATAGGTCCTACTGTCATTCCCATTTTACAGATGAGGAAAAAACTCAAAGATGTTAATTACTTTTCTAAGGTTACAAGCTAACAAATGTCAGACTTAAACACAATGCTAAGCAGCAAGCGAAAATATTTACTGACATGGAAGGATCTTCGTGATATATATATGACAATGATCAGAAACAATACAGATCAAATATGAATGATGATTGGGGGAATGTCATATTATTTATATGTCAAATTATAATGTCAAGTTATTTTATAATTCTTTTTCTTTTTGGTCATTTGTATTTCCTAATTCTTGTACACAAAATGAATAACAACTTTGACCCTCTTTCCCTTCCCCCGGGGGGAAAAAACCCCAATGCACAGTATACAAATCTGGATTACCGAAATTTAAACAAACACAAGCCAGAGTTCAAAGTTTAGAAAAACTTTAACACAGCAGATAAAGTTAGTTTGATCAAAACAATAATCAAAATAAATACATGCATGAAGTTCTTGTTATAAACATATTGTGAGATACAATTTCCTAGAATCCAGTTCTTACCTGTCAGTTGATGTTGGGCTAGTAGCCACTGGTGCTTCTGCTGGCTTTTCTGCAGGCTTCTCCTGTTTCGTTGCACTAGCAGGTGCAGGTTCAGAAGACGCTGTTGTTGATGCTGGAGTGATGGATGCAGGCGTGGGAGCGGGAGCCAAGGCAGGGGCGGGGGTTGGAGCCTGAGCCACAGCTGGTGCTGTGGAGGAACTAACTGTGGTAGTCGTGGCAGAATTTGATTGCTGAGTTGTAGCTGGTGCTGGTGTTGTCACTGCTTTGGGCTAAAACACAGTAAAAAGCAAAATAAAGAATTATGATAAAATACTACATCATTACCCGATCTCTAATTAGACTGTATTGTTACAGGATGCTACAAAAAAATGTAACAAACAAACCCACAACTTGAAAATAATTTTGTAAAGTGACATAATAAATGAGATCAATATTAGCAATCTGAATCACTATTTATGTTACTCTTTCAAAGCTGATGAAAGCATATATATTACCTTAACTATCAACCTCTAATAGCTTTAGGCAACAGTTCCAGTCTTCCCATCAAGTTAATATGAAAAAGAAGCCAGTATTCAATAATACAGAGAATGTGTACCCAGAAAAAGAACCACACAACGCCCCCTGCCCCAATTTATAATTTAAATTCCTTGGCTATAACTTTAAAGTATTCATTGTCATTTAAAAGCATTACCAAAGTAACTTTCTTATAATGGACATATAAATAGAACTATGATTAATGAACATGCCAGATATTCTGCAGTATTTTAGAAGCAGGAGGAAAATCCCAATACTAACTACAAACCAATAGGTATAAATACAAAGAGGCTGACATAACATTTTGAGATGTATATGTAGTCAAACAGAAAAATAAAGGTAAAATAAAGTTATAACTACATGCTCAGAACTTTCTGAACTAGAAGCAGAGAGGTTCCCACAGAGCAAAAAGCAATTACATATGTGTAAAAATCATACTATGAGTTTTATTCTTCTCCTAAGGTTTATCAATACTCACTACCTGTTTAGCTCATAACTTTCCTAAAGACAAAAGGTAATTTTTGATGGAAGACAAGGTTAAAATTCAAGATAATTTGCCCCAAGTATAAACGAACAAACTGTAAAAGCAGGGAGCCGAGTCTTGTCTTGTTCGATGTGAACTAGCAGAGGCGCACACTGGAAAAGTGGTGAGCGCAAGGCAGCGGGAGAGGGCTTTAAAAACGACTAGCAGCATTCGCTCTCCTTTCCCTATTCTAAGTCTTACATTGAGCTCTCTAACTTTCTTGACTGCCAATATAATACTCCACAAATTATTGATGTTCTGAATTGCAATCTGGATAAAAACGTAATTTAGATGTGTTATACTCCTTTAATATTTCCCTTAAGATTATTTGTGATCAATATAATGTTGCAACAACCATGCCCTCAAGGTATTTGTTGCCACAAAGAGCTATTTAAGCCTCATTCTAAACGGGATCAAACCCATCTGCTTTTTTTCCTGCTTAGTTTTGATCTTATCAGCTTTTTCCTGTCTCTTCTTTATAAGAAGGTCATTTCTCATCGCTTTCATAATGCTTAACTGTAGTTGTTTTCTTCCCCTTCTAACAACTGGCCTCTATTATTCACCTGAAAATAAAATGACCACAAATATCATTAGAATTCTATGTAAATAAGAATAGGTTCAACTCCAAGTAGCTACTCTTCAAATGCATGCACCTATTCTGAGACCCATGCTGCTTAATTTTTTAGTTACGTTCTAAATAGTCAAGGTTACTGTAATACTAAAGGAAATAAGACCAATAACAAATAGATTTCCACATGTGTGGCTACCACATTTTCCATTATGTACTATGCATGATAAAATGAGATGAGACAATGGAATATTACTCAGCCCTGAAAAGGACAAAAATTCAGGCACATGCTACAACATGGATGGCCCTTGAAGACATTATGCTAAAGGAAATATGCCAGTCACAAAGGACAAATACCATTTGATTCCACTAATACGAAGTACCCAGAGCAGTTAAATTCACAGACAGAAAGTAGAATGGTTGCCAGGGGCTGGGGGGAAGGGAAAATGGGGAGTTATCCTTTAACAGTACATAGTTTCAGTTTGAGAAGGTGAAAACAGTTCTGGAGATGGATGTAGTGATGACTGCATAATAACGTGAATGTAATTACTTAATGCCACTGAGCTGTACTCTTAAAAATGGTTAAACTGGCAAATTTTGCGTTATGTATATTTTATCACAATTTTTTTAAAAACTAGATAAAAAAACTAGATGAGACAAAGTTTCCTAATATGAATTCTGTTCCTCTGATTTAAAGCTAAACATTTAATAAGTGCTTAAATATAGCAAAATCAATATGGCTTCTAATGGATGTAAAACTTTTAAGTCCAACACATGTAAAAAAAACAGCTGTTTACCTGTTTTTTGTTTCTCAGTACAAAGTATAGTATTTAATTACTGTATAGTAATTAAAATTTATTTGTTCAACTCTATTTTCCACTGCACAAATCAATTATTTTGCTATTTAAGAAAAAAAACCGTACTTCTTAAAAATTTATTTGTTCTACTTTTGGTCTTTGATAAACTGGTTTCAATTAACTATTTAAACTTATTTCTAGAGCTAGAAGTAACACTGTTCTTCTCAGATTATAGCAATTCAGTCCTAAAAACAAATGTCAGTACCACCACTTCTCTGTCTTAACTCTCCACTGCATGCTTATGTATCTTTAAACAAGGACATAAATTTTAAAAATCTCTGAAAACACATTCATTCTCTACTTTAGGGAAAAACTTAAGACTTTAATAAAATCTCCTAAATATTGTTTCTGTTTAAAACTTCTTCACAATGATCATTCTATCATTTCTTTAGCTGCCTTTTCCTTTTTTTTTGTTTCTAAAAATCTACCCCACTAACTAAGAAATAACACTGAAATTATAAGTCTACATGACTTTTCTGCCTTGAGGAGTTTGTCAGGTCTAGTAGATAACATAGCAAGTCCCTTTAAGGCACCCCTATTAAAAACTACAAAATAAGAAACATTATTCAATTTCTAAGAACCACATTTTCTAATAATTACATAATTAGTGATTTCACTACTCCAGCAAAACCTAACAATTTTCAACAAGATATTTATATAAAACTGTTTTAATTTACTCAAAATTACGTTCAAACTACAAACATATCAAATTACTAACTTTACGGTTGACCCAAGGGAAACTTAGACTCTTTACTAACAGTTAAGTGCGTGCCACTCTGGATGTGTATCAAGTGTATTCACCTCAAAGCGTAAAGGCTGGACTTGGGAGGCATTGTTTTTTAAAGACCTGCAGGCAGCAAAATATACAGAATGAAGCTAGAACTTACTTTTGTCACCATAACCACCACAAAGTTTTTCTCATCAATTTTATATTCTTTTAGAGCAGTATCATCATTGAGGATTTTGCCTAATTCATTAAGAGAAAAAACATGTTATTTAAGGCAACATAATCTTTGTCTTATGCATAACTGAAGTTAAAACAATCACCAATGGCAATTCTATTAGTCAACACTTTCCCCAAAGAAAAACATTAACCAATCAGCCAAGATAAAGATAAATGGAAATAGAAACATGACTAGTGAAGAAGGCATAAGCATTTGACTAAGATATCAAACATACACTGTATATAGATATCCCAAGCAATTCTTCAAAATTATTACTTATAAAAAAAAGACGTGCTGGGTAAGGAAACATTAACTAGGTCCTGAGAAAGGGGAGATCATGAAGACAAATAAAATTCAATACTGCAATTGCCCAGGGATCCCCCTGGGGAATAATCCATAATCCTTCCTGATAAGAGGAAGGAGAAAATAACAAACTTCCTGCTGCCACAAATACCGAGTATCTGGCAAAACAGGAATGTTCCAATGCTATGAAAGCGAGATATTCATAATCAAAAGTACTTCAGAAAATGACTTGGTACACAACAAAAGGCCAGACGGTACAGAACTGAATAAAGCACAAAAGAGTACACAAGACTGGTCATGTTGAAGGTCAAGTGTTAGATGAGGATTCCCTCAGGTTTCCTTTCCCTTGAATTTAGTTTTCCATTTTTAAAAAGTCATTGAATCAAAAGCTGCAAGCATTAAGACAGGAACAGAGTTCTTACTCTGTATAGAAATAAGTAAACAGGCTAAGACTAGGAACCAGAAATTCTAGTTTTCTGTCTTCCTCTTTAGGCTTCTGATTCCTAATCATGGCGTTAGTGTTTCCTCTAAACCATCTCAGTTAAGAAAATACTACAAAATCCATTATCTAGGAAGAGATGAGAAACCACGGGCAATTCAAGATCCACCCTACTGTCACCTACAATCACAGCGTTCAGTATTTCTTTTGAAGAACAAACAGAAGAATTTTCCCCACAAAATTCACAAATGAAGTCTATTTTAACACACATTTTCCTGGTTACTAGTAAAGCTACTTAAATTTGCAATTTCCTATTCATATCCTTTGCTGATTTTGTTATGGGGCCATTCTCCCCTAATTTTTAAGAGCTTTTTATATAATGTGAATATTAATCTTTTCTTTTCCTGTCACTTATTTGTGTCTTTTGACACATAACGTTTTCTATATTCTTCAGTCAATTTTGCTATTTTATTTAAAGAGAAGATTGAATTACATTCAAACGACTACTTGTTCACTGCTTCTATCTGTACAATCATATTTCTGATAGAATCAATTTGTATACACTACAATTTGTAAGATGATAATTTCTAAAACTAAAAGAATGTCACCATAAACAATAAAATGGCATCCTAATTTCAGTATTTAATTCATACCTGCATAAATTAATTTTTGACCTGCTACAGGAAAGGCATCTTTCCCCTTTTCAGACTCGATCTTCTCCTTCAGTGCTTTCACCTATAGGAAAAATAAAGATTCTTTTTTAAAAACTCTAAACAACAAATGACAATCTAGAATCTGAATAAAAGATGCAAGATAAAATTTTTATACATTTTAATTAATGCTTCCAAAAACCTGAGATCATGTCTTTCTAACATTATATCAAGAGATTCATTATTAACCTCTATTATTAGGTATGATAGGTATAAACTTTGTTTTACCACCATGTGTTAAATACACATAGATTTAAAAAAAACTTCACCAGTTGATTTGATAAATCTATTCAAAATAAAGACTTCACATCAAAAAGCTTTGATTCTCACTAAAAAGTTGGGCTTACTTCCCATAAAGAAAATAAACCTCTTTAATATAAAAGGTCTAAGAAATAAAATGGTCTCATCTACAATAACAAAAGTTAAATGTGAATGTTAAAAGGCAAATGATTCACTTTAAAAGTGTGTAGAGGGGCTGGACTAGTGGTGCAGGGTTCGCAGGTTTGAAACCTGGGTACAGATATATGCACCGCTTGTTAAGCCATGCTGTGGTAGGCATCCCACACATAAAGCACAGGAAGATGGCACAGATGTTAGCTCAGGGCTAATCTTCCTCCAAAAAAAAAAAAAGTAAACTAACTGCTCCCAATCCTCCTCTTTTTGCTGAGGAAGACTGGCCCTGAGCTAACATCCGTGCCCATCTTCCTCCACTTTATATGTGGGACGCCTACCACAGCATGGCTTGCCAAGCAGTGTCACGTCCGCACCCGGGATGTGAACCGGCGAACGCCGGGCCACCGAAGCAGAAGATGGGAACTTAACTGCTGTGCCACCGGGCTGGCCCCTGGACGTTAGTATTTTTACAAAGCATTACAGGTGGTTCCAAAGTTCAGCCAAGGCTGAGAACCAGTGTTCTACTTAAATGATCTTAAACAAGTGGCTTGGCTTATCTTAGCATCAGTTTCACCTGTAAAGTAAGAAGGACTAAAACAGATGATCTTTATGGTCTCTTCGATTACTAAAATTATGCAAAAATAGGCTCATTATGAAGTATTTAGAAAACGAGTCCAATCAACTTCTGAAACTGATCAGACAGTAGAGTGGCATAGGAGTAAAAAAGGCAAGGAGACATAATGGAACTAGTTTCATCACTTTAAAGGCACAAGAATCAAGGGGGAAAATTCTACTTCCCAGGATACTTCTGAAAATTGTCTAAATTGATAGTTCTGAGCTTTATGAAAAGCTCAGTGAAAAACTGTCTGACAGAAAGGGATACAAAGAGAGGGTTCCTTTGTACAATTACAAAGTGATGGCATATTCTTCCAAAAAAAAAAGATAGTAATGTTTATATAGATTCAAGTACATTAACAAACACAATTTCACATAATCCTCAAAACTCTGGGACAAATGGGAATATCGTCCACTCAATTTTATAGATGAGGAAACAGAAATAAAGAGGTTAAATTTCTTCCCCAAATCACATTGCTACTAAGTAGTAGCTGAAACCCATAACCAGCTCTTCTGACTCTAAGCTTTAGAACCCAGTATACTGTGCAAATACCATCCAGATAAATCACCCTTTCTACACTGATCTTCCTGAAATAGGTCAGTGGCATCACTGCTAGTCTGATGTTCCCCAAAGCGGAAAGCCATTACAAAAATCTCAACCATTTTCTGCTGCTCTGAATTTCAAAAGTAAGACTAACATAAGTAACAACTTTTTAAAAAAGCGCTCAGAAAATCTGATCTCAACAAACTGAGGATATAAATTCCATGTCTATATCCAATTTAGTACATTGTTACTCTATTAGATGGTAAACTCTATGCTAGGTGAGGTCAGTTTGAAACAGCACAAAGAGTCCACAACTTCTCTAACAACTCTACGGTTTGTCCCTGCTTTAAATACCATTTATGACAGTTCTGATTTTACCTATACATTCCGTTAGCACTTTATAAGAGTGGGAAATAAAAGACACGATCTCAATTTCCGACCTATAGTAGCCTTTAAAGACCATCTAGTACCCCTCTATTGCTACTAGAGCAGAGATTCTCCAGGTGTGTGTGGTCCAGGGAGCCCTGTTAGGTCATCTGCACGATCAAAAGACATCATTTGCCTTTTCTCACAAGTATACAGTTCTGAGTTTTCCACAGGATACAGAGCATGTGATATCACAAAAGGCTGAATGCAGAGGCAGATGAGAATCCAGCTATCTTCTATTAAAGCCAAATATTAAAGAGATGTGCAAAACAAGTAAAACAATGTCAGTCTTCTTACTGCTTTTTGTTGTTTTGGAAAATAATTTTTCATACTAAAATATATTGATTATAACATTTAATGGGTTATTATTTTTAACTGAACACAAAAAATTTCTGAGTTTTAACTTCTAATATGGTAAATATCAATAAATACAAGCACACAGACAAAAGTTATTTTGGAGTCCTCAATAACTTCTAAGTGTAAAGGGGCCCTGAGAACCAAAAGTTTGAAAACCGCTATCTTACATGCTAAATGACTTGCCCAAAGTCAAGTGAGCAGTAGCAAAGCATGGTCAGAGCACTCTGTGGTGAATGATAAATTTCCTTTCACACTTTTTTGCTTAGAGAGGGAGAAGAGATGCAATATTTACAACTGTGATTACTTGGTGAAAAATCACAAATGAATTATAGACCACATGAATCACTCTGAGTCAATCCAGTTCTCAGAACAGTACATAGTGGTTTAGTACATAGGGGTAACTCAATTATCACTTGCTGAATAAGTAAATTAATGTAGCATAGAAATACATGAAGAAAAAAGGAAATAAAAAGAAGAAATATATGAGCCAAAAAGTAAAAGAAACAAGCAGGAATTTACTCCTTGACAGGTCAGAATGAATCAGGCAATTAAGACAGATTTAATTGATAAATATATACATATATATATATATATATATATATTAGTTTCTATCTAACAGAAACTGTATTTTCATTCCCAGCACCCATAAAATATATATATTTAAAAGGTTAGGTCAGTTCATTTCTATTCACACTTAAACAGGTCCAATTCTCTATCATCTTAAAAACAAAACAAAAAAAACTTCACAACCCCTTGTTTCCTGCCAGCTATACTCTCTTCCCCCTAGTCTGAAGCATTTTTCTTTTTTTTTTTTTTTAAAAGGTTGGCACCTGAGCTAACATCTGTTGCCAATCTTCCTTTTTTTCCTCTCCTCCCCAAAGCGCCCCCCCCCCCGGTACATAGATGTATATTCTAGTTGTAGGTCTTTCTGGCTGTGCTATGTGGGACGCCGCCTCAGCGTGGCCTGATAGCAGTGCTAAGTCTGCACCCAGGATCTGAACCATCGAAACCCCGGGCCAACAAAGCAGAGCGGCAAACTTAACTACTCGGCCAAGGGGCCAGCCCCTCAAGCATTTTTCAAAAAATTAACTACATATTCTCTTCACTTACTTATAACCTCACACCTATTTTCTCAAGAGTGCAATACAGCACTGATAAACAGAAGCATGGACTTTATTCTCATTTCGCTGCATATTTTCTCCAGTCGTGCCAACTCCCACAATTCCATTAAGACTGCTCTTACCAGTATCACTGAATTCGGCACTATCATAACCAGACACTTCCTAGTCCTTCTCTATCTTACTTGACCTCTCTGTCACATTTGACAGTACTGACCTGTCTCTCATTTTCACATTGTCTTCCTTTTGCTTCCATAAGGCCATATTTTTCCGGCTGTCCTCCTATCTCTCTGTTCACTCCTCTGTGAAATCCTCTTCCTTGGCTAGCCCTTTAAGTGTTACTCAGGGTTATGCCCAAGGTTGCCTTTTCTTCTGCACAAAACTTCCAGGATAATCCATCTCATCCACTCGTAGTTTTAATAACCATCCAGATGCCATCTGTATCCCCCAGCTCTCTCCTCACCTTCAGTTACGCATACCCATCTCTCTACTGGACACCTTCACTGGATGTCCTATAGGTATTTCAACCACAATGTATTTGCTGAAGGATAGTTTCTAGTTTGTCTAAACCTTCCCTTTCCCAATCGAGCACACTTTATAACAGCTTACAAAGAAGGGCCTTCTTTCTGGGTGCTGCAAAGAAGGAAGTGGCAGCAACCCTGCACAAGGTTTCTCTTGAGAAGGTCATGACCGGCAATGGATATAGTCATGACTCCTCTAACTGCTCAGCCTTGTGCCAGCACTCCCATTCCAATAAGTCATCTCCACAGGATAGATCTAAACTGAGCACTACAGTCCCAGTAAACAACCAGGCCTATCTTATCCAAGACTAATAAACAAGAAGCCAGGACTAAGCTTTCCTTTTGTTGCTTATCCTCCTAGATAAAGAACAGGAGTTGAACATCTGACTCAACTAGAGCTAAAGCATAGCAATACTCAAGAAATCAAACTTTTTTCCTAGCCAAATACTTCCCTCTTATAAAACTGTGAATTCTGAAACAAAAACATACTCAATATCTAATATTAAACACAGTCGACGTGGCTGGTTTATAAGGCCATTGCTTCTGTCTTGCTCTCTTGGATCACTCACATTGGGAGATTCCCGCTGCCGTGTCATGGGACACTCAAGCAGCCTGGGTGGGGGGGAACACATGGGGAGGAACTGAGGCCTCCAGTCAACACCCAGTACTAAGTTGCTAGCCAGGTGGTAAAGCCTGAAGGGAATCCTCCAGCCAGTCAAGCCTTCAGATAACTACAGCCCTTAACACAACCTAATGAGAAACCTTCAGAACCACAGAGCTAAGCCACCCCTGAACTCCTGACTCACAGAAACTATGAAATAATAAAAGTTTATTGTTGTTTTAAGCCACTAAGTTTTAGGCAATTTGTTATGCAGTAATAGATAACTAGTACATAGGCAGATATTATTATTATCCTCATTTTCTGAGGGGGACACAAAAGCATAGAAACAGAAGATTAAGTGCACAGGCTGTGGAGGCCAACTGCCTAAATTTGAATCCAGGCTAGTTACTCATATGGCAGTCGATATCTGTGAACAAATAAAGGTGATAT